AATACTACTTTTAATTTATGCTTTCAATTTCCTTTTATTTTTTCATTATTTTCAGAATATTTGCAAAATATTATAGTTTTTCAATTAATTTTTGTCAATTTGTCTATATATACATATATACTATTGCAACACATGGTTGTTTTTATATATATTTTGGTTAATATTTATAATTTAATTAATAAATGTAAAATTTTTATTTTTATTTTTTTAAATCAGATACCAATATAATCAACAACCATGTCTGTCAATAGAAAACATTTTTGTCAATTATATTTATTTTCGATGTACATTTATTCGACAATTTTTTCTATCAATTATATCTATAATTGATATAATTTCTTATATAATCAATAGAATTTTCTATCGATTAAAAACTGTTTTCTAATAGTGACATGTCAAAATATTAAATACAAATGGCAAGATAGTATGACAAAAAATAATGATATGGCAAAAAAACTTAGAAAATTCTCTTTTTCCTTCTTTCCCTTTCTCCTTCATCTCCCTTCCCCTGCCTTCTACAAACCCTAAAGATGAACCTACAATTACCCCCAATGAAACCTGCAATTTCATCCTTTCATTTTCTTTCTCTCTTCATCCTTCCCTCAACAACAGATTTGGAAATTTTCCCTTCCAATTTCTCTCTTTTGCTAGGTTCAAAAGAAACCCAACAAAAAGAACAAAGGAATCAACCTCAAGATCAATAAGAAAATACCCAGATTCTAATAAACACATAGAATCACAGATCCCCAACAAACCCGCACTAGAACCAACAAATCCCTCACAAATTCGTACCAACACCTAGAAATTACCACCAAAACAAAAACAATCAACGAGCCCATGAACATTTACCACCCAATACAGAAAAAGAAGAGAACCTCTTGCTTAGACAAGGGCTTGCACTACATGAGCTAATCAATCTACTCATCTAGGTTCCCATGAGAATTCAATGGCATTGAATCCAAACTCATCTTTTTGTCTCCCTTCTCAACTCTTTCCTCTGGTTTTTGCCAGATCAAAACCCCAAATTCTGTCACTACAAAAACCCTAGATTTTGAAGAAAACTTGTATAACTAGAGAAATGAAACCTTAAATTTCTAGAGAGAGAAAAATGATGGTGAAGAGCCCAATGTCTTTCTCTTTCAATTTTGATCAATCACTCACTCCTTTTTAACAAAAAAAAAAAGAAAAAAGAAAAAAAAAAGAAATGAAATCCAATAGCTTTGTTGGGTTCAAAAGACCCAACAGATCTGGAAGAGGAAAGGGTGAGGAAAATCAAGGGGAAGAAGCTGAATTGATTTGGTGAGGAAACTCGAAGGTGATTTTAGGTGTTAGGGTTTACAATAGCAGAAGGAAGGAAGATGAAAGAGATAGAAAACAAGAAAGAGGATAAAAAGAGAGGAAGAAAAAAAAAGAAAGTAATTTCTTAATGATTTTGTTGCCATTCATTCATTCATTTATCCATGCTGTAAAATCTACGTGTCCAAAATTTTTTATAGGTCATTCTTTTACTGTTAATTAACGAGCCATGTCAATGAATACCTAATGAAAGAACCAAATTGGGGTCAAAATGAGAAACAGTAGGGATTAAATCAAGGTTTTTTGAGTTGAAGGACTCAATTAAAGGTCTATACAATAGTTGAGGGACTAAAATGAGGTTTAACCTAAAATATACAAGTGACGTGTTAAGATGAGGGAGAGAGTGTCGAAATGAAGGATGCTGGCGCGAATGCTTCTAACACTCCTCTTTACGAAAGGAAAAACCTCTCTACCGCTTTCGTAATAATCAATATAGAGACTTTCAACTACTGTTCAAATAAAAAATATTCCCTTCAGCAACACCAAAATCTGTATTAATTTCTGTCAAGGTTCACAACAGGCAAAAGGATAGAGAAAAAATAAAACCATGAAATAGCAAAATCTGGCTGGTACCTCAGAAATCCTGAGGTCTTGGGGGTGAACAGGGACAGCATGAAGAGACCGATCACGGTGGGCTTCATCAGATGGGAAGGTATGAGCTTTTGGTTCAGAACTTCATGGGATCACGGAAAGATGCTGGCGGAGGGGTAAGGTGCATAGTTCAAGGGATCACCGGAGAAGCTGACCTAATATGCTGCGCTATCAATTAATCCAACCTACGACGGATCTGGCAGCTATATGTTCATTTCTAGAATGATTTCGCGAAATTTCTTATCTGAAATTTTAGAATTGAATTTTTCTTTATTTGTTATTTATTATTTTTTATTATTATTATTATTTTTTGTTCTTTCTAACCAATTAAATCAGACTATGGATGAAGCTGACCTAATATGCTGCGCTATCAATTAATCCAACCTACGACGGATCTGGCAGCTATATGTTCATTTCTAGAATGATTTCGCGAAATTTCT